CTGGCTGTCGGGGAAATCAGCGGTGCCAGCGCTGTCGACTGCCTCGTCCTCCTCATCTCCTTCCTCCTCTTCCCCGTCCGCTGTCATGTCCGACATGATCCCATCCTCGGAGTCCACGGTCAGGGGTGGGGTAGTGGTGGCGGCCGCTCCCAGGATGGAATGCAGTGCCTCGTAGAAACGGGATGTGTGGGGCTGGGATCCGGAGCGTCCGTTAGCCTCTTTGGTTTTTTGGTAGCCTTGTCTCAGCTCCTTGATTTTCACGCGGCACTGCGTTGCATCCCGGCTGTAGCCTCTCTCTGCCATGGCTTTGGAGATCTTCTCGTAGATCTTAGCATTCCTTCTTTTGGAGCGCAGCTCTGAAAGCACGGACTCATCGCCCCACACTGCGATGAGATCCAAGACTTCCCGATCAGTCCATGCTGGGGCCCTCTTTCTATTGGATTGCACGGCCATCTCTGCTGGAGAGCTCTGCATAGTTGCCACTGCTGCTGAGCTCCCCTCGATGTCCAAAGAGGAACTGAGATTCAAACTGCCCAGACAGGAAAATGAAAATGAATTCAAATTTTCCCGGGGGTGTGGCTGGTCAGAGCATCCGAGCTCGGACTGCTGTCCAGAGCGTCAACAGAGTGGTGCACTGTGGGATAGCTCCCGGAGCTATTACCGTCGATTTCCATCCACACCTAGCCTAATTCGATATGGCCATGTCGAATTTAGCGCTACTCCTCTCGTTGGGGAGGATTACAGAAATCGATTTAAAGAGAGCTTTATGTCGAACTAAATGGCTTCCTGGTGTGGACGGGTGCAGGGTTAATTCGATATAACGGCGCTAAAGTCGACATAAAAGCCTAGTGTAGACCAGGCCTGAATGAACCAAAGTAAAAGGTCAAACCGGAATGCCCTATAGACCAAATAAAACAAAGCTGCATATTCATAAAGCCTATGCAAATATGCGAATCTGTATTTAGCTATTTCCTGTGGGCACGAAGAATTTACAAATGGTAACAGCCACCCCTGCTATAGCCTTGTCCAGGTGGACTGCTTTCTGAACTGCAATTTCCCCCCTCCGGGAGTACTGCAGAACAGGATTCAAAGCAAAAATGTCTGTGTCTCAGTGCCTGAAATCAAACAGAGCGGGACCTGTTACTAAATCACTCCCCGCATTTCCCCACTGCTCAGAGTCCCCATGTAACAAAGCCAGGCTGTAAATCCCCAGAAAGACACCAAGGAGGAGAAGAAAGTGGCCTTACCTGGCAGGGGAAAAGGCAAGCGGCCTCCCAAGTTTCTAGTTGGTAGCAGTAGCTCTGCAGTTCCTGTCTTGTCATTTTGTACTGTCTCCTCCCCAGTTCCACTGCCAGAGCAGAAAAACTGGTTCCACCATCTTCCTCTGGCATCACACGATCCCAGGAAACGCAAGGGACCCAGCCCAGGTGCGCAGTAACCTGTCTGCCTGACTAACACGGACTCATTCAAGAACTTCTGACCCATGTTAGGCAGGACACGGCTGCTATGTTGGTTGGAAAACGCCCACCATATGGACATTGAGTGTTCAAGCCTGCCATGCTGAGCACAATGGGAGCTGAGCCATTGACTTCAGAGGAAGCAGGAACAGGGTCCCAAGACTCAGTCCAAACCCCCCCCCTGCTTGGAATGCTATGGCAGCTGCTGGTCGTCCAGGATGCTTGAAGAGCCATTAAGACAGGAATCTCTCTCTCCTACTTATGTCATATTTGCTCTCACATACGCAATCATCAGGCCAACAGCTACTCCAGGAAGGCTGTGTACTTGACACACGGGGCACTACAACAGACAGATGAATATCTTAGAGTGGACAGTTAGTTCCCTTTCATATACGGCACCCTCTAATGTCTGCCCCTGCAGCGATCTTTCACTCCAAGTTCTAACTAGCTAAATACCTAACGACCGTAGTAGCCAATAATGTTAAAGTATTCGTTCGAAACATTGCCTGGATATGCTCCTCCCTGCTTTTCCTCTTCCAAGCAACGCCCTCATTTCCAGCAATACTGATACGATGAAAGAACAGTGACAATACTTTGAGATCCTGAGGGGCTGTGGAACTGCAAAGCACTTTACAAGAATTAATGAATTCAGCCTTGCAGCACCCCCGGGAAGTGGGAATTACCTTTGCCATTTTGAATGAGTAAAATTGGTTGGGGGTAATTCATAGACTCATAGACTTCAAGGCCAGAAGGGACCATCATGATCATCTAGTCTGACCTCCTGTACATCGCAGGCCACAGCACCTCACCCATCAACTCCTGTCATAGGCCCATAACCTCTGGCTGCGTTACTGACATCCTCAAATCTTGATTTAAAGACTTCAAGTTACAGAGAATCCACCATTTAATCTAGTTCAAACCAGCAAATGACCCATGCCCCACACTGCAGAGGAAGGCAAAAAACACCAGGGACTCTGCCAATCTGACCTAGGAGAAAATTCCTTCCTGACTCCAGATATAGCGATCAGTTAGACCCTGAGCATGTGGGCAAGACCCAAGAGCCAGACACCTGGGAAAGAATTCTCTGTAGTGACTCGGACCCCTCCCGTCGACGGTCACAACTCCAGCCATTGGAGATATTTGCTAATGGCAGTCGCGGATGGGCCATGAGCCATTGTAGTCAATCTCATCATACCATCCCCTCTATAAATTCATCAAGCTCAGTCTTAAAACATGTTAGGTTTCTTTGCCCCCACACTGCTGCCCTTGAATTCACACACACAGGATTCAGTTCACCAAGTAAATAATTCATTGCAAGTTGGGGCCCCAATTCAGAGTGCAGGCAGCGAAGATGGGGGAGCGTGGGCGTGTCCTTGTGCCTCCTGGATTCTGCAGGCAGCAGGATACCCTATAGCCAGACCACATTGCATTCTAGTCCAATCCATCTCCAGCATGTCCCTACATGGGGTGGGCAGAGTAGAGGCATTCAGCTGGCCATTATGCTGAGGAGATTCCCCCAGCTCGCTGGCTGGGCTGCCCCCGCAGAGCTCAGCTCTCATTTGCAAAGTTTAGTCTCCTAACGATCAAGCCCAGCTACACCAGATATGCCTCTGGAATTGAACCGTTCTCCCTTCAGGCAAACTCCCTCAAACACTTACCGCTCAGCAGGAATCACTCTCGGAGGCATCATAAAGAATGCATCGCTAGCATGTAATTAACCGTGCTTTGCATTGACCTGGAGCATCTCTTACAACTACTAGGGCAGTTTAGAGATGAAATATAAAAAAAGCCCATCCTGCTATGGCACAAGACCAGGGCCCAGGGAGCTTGGAGTGTTGTTAAGCACAACTAACTTGAGTCTCTAGAAGAGGCAAAGAAGGGAAATCAAGTGATCTGCTGTGAGCATTTATGGCATGGAGTTGGTGGGTTCCAGAGGTGCACGTAAAATTTCTCAGCTGAAAGAAGAGAGCCTGGGGACTCAGTCTGCAATCTCAGCATCTCATGGGATCCATCCCCGTTCGTTGCAATTCCCAGGTGACAGCAGTAGCTTAACAGGCATTCTGACGTAGAGATCACGACTTTTCCTTTCTGCTGGTGACCTCATCATGGTGGTCCATGCCTTTGCCAGCTCCAGGCTGGACTCTAAAACTGTTCAACTTGGGGTTACACTTGAGGTCCACTCAGAAGCTTCAGCTAGTGCAGAATATCAGTCACTGCTGTTTAAACCGTCAACATGAGCCCGTAAAAGGCCTGCAGAGACTGCCTCTCTATCTCGGCCAGACTGTAGCAGTACAGTTGACTGAAACACTTTCTTGTTGGTTTGCTCCCAGGATTGAAGTATGCTTGACTCTGCTCAGCGTGACACTCATCACTTTCATGTGTGCTGAACTTAACGGAGCATTGAAGACCAAGCAAAGCAGGAGGGGAAGGTAGTCACGCAGCCAACATACTTATCCCAATCGAGAGTGAAATATCACCTATAACGTTAGTTTTGAGACATTTCAGCCAGGTGGAATGTCTAGTTTGTCTATTAACATGCACACAACTACCCACCTTTCCTTCTGGGAGACTGTGATTGTTGACTTGAAGCAGTACCATGGGAGATGTGTACAAACAGCTGGCCAGCTCCCAAATGACAGGTGCTCCTTGTTACAGTCTGTTGCATTGAGCCTCTGCCAGGATAAGATGGAGCATGGATGTGTTGATTAAAGGAGTCTATTAACATTTCCAAAGGGGATTAATTAACGCAGAGTAAGATGCCAGATAGTTCAAAAAAGGAACTTTCAGTGTGTGGATTCAAGGTAGTTTTCTCTCTCTCCTCCTCCTTCCCCCCTCCCTCCACAAAACCCTAAATTTATTCCAGACAAAAACTTTTCCCATGTAGATCAGAGCTGAGAGACTGTTTTGAGTCACAGCCACAAACAGGGTGCAATTGTTGACTCTTGAGCCCATCCTTCCATGGACAAGGCTCCCGCCAAGCTCAAGCCACTGCCATGTTGTGTAGACAAGCTGGTTTATTTAGCACTCGGGCACCTTTGAGAAAGATTTCAGCTTCGCTATGCCCCACATGGGCTGGTTGATTCTCTCTCTTTAGTTCGGAGCCATGCCATTTCATTGTTTATCTGAGCCACTCGGGACAGCCCAGTTCCTCACTCACTTGAGGCTTTGATTGCCCGGTTGGCAATCCTGCTGCCACCGCTTGCTGATAGCAGAGCTTTGTTTCTTCCTTTGCAAGCCAGCTGGAAATCGACTGCGCTCCCCAGGCGCGTAGAACATTTTTCCGATTATCCACATTTGTATCTTAATAATCAAACAAATTAACAAGCGGGGATATAGCCGGGCAAGCGCTGGGAGGAAATATCCATAATTCCATCCAGTACAGAATATAGATTTTTTTTTTTTTTACATTAGCACAGCAGCTGGTAGAAGGCTGTTTTCTGAGTCCAGATGTAACAGAATCTCATTGAATGAAAGAAAATAATTACATTTTCCCCACTTCACGCTTCATTGCCTCCCTCTTATCTAGTCTAGAAAGCCTCTCACCTCCTCAAAGAACAAGCACCCGGAGCTCTCAGGTAACTTCCAGCTCTCATCAAGTTCAGGCACCAGCCAGGCTGAGTAATAGAATCTCTATTCATGTGAAAACAGTGCAGTCAGACAACGCCTTTGAGTAAGCCCTTGCATTGACTCTATAGCTGTTTTCTTTGGTAAATTAGATTGACTACTTGTATGAGCAAGAATGAGGCTATTCTAGCCTTGTTACTGTAGTGCATTCCTGTTGAACGTCTCGCCTGACAGTCCTGCCATCTTATTCCTTAGAGAAATGTAGCTGTTTGGGGTGTTTCTGACGAGAACGCTGTATGCGTTTGAAAAGCTGCTGCTGCTGCCTCATCAAAACCCATTCTTCTTAATTCACTCTGCTCGTTTATCATTTTCTCTATTTCTCAACCTGTAGCCTTGTCAGGGTTCCCTCCCCACTCTGAACTCCAGGGTACAGATGTGGGGACCCGCATGAAAGACCCCCTAAGTTTATCTCTACCAGCTTAGGTTAAAAACTTCCCCAAGGCACAAATTCTTCCTTGTCCTTGGAACGGTATTACTGCCACTACCAAGTGAATTAGACAAAGATTCAAGGAAAAGAACCACTTGGAGTTCCTGTTCCCCAAAGTATCCCCCCAAGCTCCTTCAACCCCTTTCCCAGGGAGGCTTGAGAATAATATACCAACCAAATAGGTTAACAAGGTGAGCACAGACCAGCCCCTTGGGTTTTTAGGGCACTAAAAACCAATCAGGTTCTTAAAAGCAGAACTTTATTATAAAGAAAAAGTAAAAGAAGCACCTCTGTAAAATCAGGATGGAAGGTAATTTTACAGGGCAACAAGATTCAAAACACAGAGGATTCCCCTCTAGGCAAAACTTTAAAGTTACAGAAAAACAGGAATAAACCTCCCTCTTAGCCTAGGGAAAATTCACAAGCTAAAATAAAAGATAACCTAACGCATTTCCTTCCTAGTACTTACAATTTGTAATCTTAGATGCTTAATTCAGGTATAGCTTTAGGAGATGTATTTTCCCAGCCCTGGCTCCTCGCTGACCCGGGGAGAACAACAAAGAGAGACAAAACAACAACCTTCCCCCACAGATTTGAAAGTATCTTCTTCCCTCATTGGTCCTTTTGGTCAGGTGCCAACCAGGTTATTTGAGCTTTTTAACTCTTTACAGGTAAAGGAGGGATTTTATGCTACCCTTAACTGTATGTTTATGACAAGGCTTTATCAGTGAGGTCGGCATTTTGCAAAGACTCAGGGATTGTTTCTAAATAGCTCGTTTGCTATCACTGCTTATTTCCCACTTGACGTCCTGGATTTAAACGATCCCACACAATTACGCTGGTACTAGCAGCCTGAGTTCAACTAATCTTGCTTCTCTAGAGATTGATTCTGCCACCCGTTTGATTTCAATGGGATTGCCTGTGGAGAAAAGCACTAAACACGCAGACTACTTGCTGAAATCCCATCCCCTGTGAACAGGAGTAGCGAAACCTGACCAGTGGCAGCAGTCGAAGAGGGAAGTGAAGACAGACACATCCAATTCTGACTGTCTTCTTGCATTTCTCTTATTGCTGTAGGAACTACTCAGTCAGCTTCATGGTACTAAGCCAGATTCTGGGTCAGCGTTGGGTGGTTTTGGAACAGTGGCATCGGAACAAAAATAGCGTTCAGTCAGTTAGTACAGAAACTTCCTTTTAATCATGAGCTTATAAAGTCTACATCATTGAACCAGTAGCACATCTCAGAGAATTTACAACATCCACCAAAGAGCCTGTCTCTCTCTGGCTGACTGTGGGGGATAAAACACCCCAGGACCAATGTAAGACCTGGTAAATATGGGGCTCAAATCCACAGCCAGAGGCTGGGAAAGGGAGCTCAATAGAAAACAATGCTACTTTAAGCATCAATGCACTTTCCTTGATAGCATCTGTGGCAACTGTCGCCCCAGGCTGAGAATGGAGCTCTGGCCTCTCTCCTATATACATATCTAAAAACGCTGCTCAGCGATAGGGCCGGGGGGGGGGGGGGAGATAGAGTGAGGCCACAAGTGCATTGGCACCCCAGAGCAATACTGCCAGATTCGTTATTGCCAGCTCATGATACGTGAAACAGCACTGGCATTTAACTCAGCTCCTGGCCACAGAACAAATGACCCATGGCTATTCAGACACTCTGGTGATGAGCGCAGTATAAGAACATATACAGAACAGAATGGCCTTGTGAAAGAAGAGAGCATAGAGAGTGTGTGTGTATGGGGGGTTGTTCTTTCCTCCCCATCCCTTTGACCCCTCCCCCGCTCCCCAAATATGTAGGATTCTCAGGGCAATGACTGAACACTCATTCCATGTATGGTTTTATTATTAGAAAAGTCAATGCATCCACAGATTTGATCATTCAAACAAAAGTGAAGCAAGGATTTTTACAGCTATACAAAATAGGAGAAGCTATTTGCAAAAAGGGGTTTCTGTAGTAAAAAACAACTCCCGCTGCTTGGCAACAAGCTGCATCAATGGAGCAGAGCGCAGGGAAGCATGAAACCCAAGAGTAGTGATTTGCAAGACCTGCTAAAACCTGGAGAGGTCGAAGGCTGGGACTAGAGATTCATCATTACTGATGAGCCCATACTGAGGAACGCAGGTATGACAGCAGTCTACTCTCATTAGTTGCCTGGACTCCTTTTTTATTCCGTTTAAGCCACCTTTTTCTTTCGCTGTTGGTGCAGCAGAGGCTGTTCCCTTCCAGAGAAGAAGCTCAAAAGCTACGGAGTGCCAAAAGTAACAAAATAAGGAAGTTTTTAAAGCACAAAGAAAAAGACGCCCTGTGTGGAACGGCAGCTTGTGGAGCAGATGAGGAGTCCCAGTGCCAGTGTCAAGCTGTTTCCTCTCGGACGTATTCTAATCGCCTCTTACTGAGACATGAAGTAGTGCAGTGCGTCACTTTTAGACAGTAGCCTAAGGAAGTCCTTCAGTGATATGTGACAAACGTCTGTACACGCAGACAGTGACTCATGGGTCAAGTTGTACTGAAAGGTAATGAGAAATTCTCTGCTCTGTTGTCTTAATCACTTGACCAGGAACCCATCCCTTCTGGTTGCCCTTCATTTATTACTACAGGGCCACGCACCCTGTTACGCTGGACAAATCAGCCCTGTTACAGCTTTCTTCTCACTAACGGGCCTACGTGTAACCCTAGTGCAACACTTGTCTTCTTGAAGCAAACATCTTGCAGGAAAGAGAAACACGTCAAAATCCTCAAGCCCCATCCCAGACCTCAGTACGTATGTAAGAGATCAGCACCCTTCAGCAAGCTGCTGCTTTTGGATATACAGAGCATCAGGGACCTTAGATTCTGTTCTTTCAAAGCTGAAATCATTCCTGAGACTCTGAACCTTGCCGTATCTTGTATCCAGCACAAACTTAGCAGGAACATAAATATGTGCCTCGAAATTCAAACTCAACTGGAGAGTTTGGTTAAATACTCATTAACCGGTTACCCTAGTCTTTTCTCTAGAGTGATTTAGCTTCGATCATCCTCAAAATAGTCTTTCCTGAAAGAGCTCATTAACATACTCAGCTATGGGAGCGCAGAGCAAAGAGTGATAAACAGTCAGCCAAACTAAGGACTGGTCTACACTGGGAATTTACATCGGCACGGCTACGTCTCTCGGGGGTGTGAAAAATCCACACCACTGAGAGACACAGCTAGGTGGACGGAAGAATTCTTCATTGACCTAGCTACTGCGTCTTGGGGAGGTGGATTGCCTACCCTGATGGGAGAACCCCTTTGGTCAGCGTAGGTAGTGTCTACACTCAAGTACAACAGAGGCACAGCTGCGCTGCTGTAGCAGTTTAAGTGTAGCCAGACCCTAAGAAACCACCTGCATTTTTAACCTGCCAGATTGCCCAGATGCCTAGACTATGCTAATTGCATCCTTCATGTCTCCTGACAAATTGTACAGCTAAGACCTGGCCAGTCAGCATTTTATCATCACCACTGTAGTACCAGTGATTAAAGCTTCGTTTATTTTCTGTCCCTACCCCATTCCCAGGCAAGGGAACGATCAAGTGGGCAGATGTGCTTTCTGCTCGACTAGCAGGATTAATTCACTGCTGTGATAATTCAGTTCGAGTCTGGATCAGAGAGATCTGTAGCACAGGCAGGAGTAGCTGGAAGGCATCTTGGATATACGAAGCACTGTTTGAAGCCTACAAAACAAAACAAATTACATTAGAGCCATTCATGCTACCAGTCTTCATTTCTGCTTGACATGTGTATACTATATGGTCACTGATGAGTAATATACATAAGCAATATCAGGCTACTACTCTCAGATGCACCAACTTCTTTTCAGTTAAGTCTACTTTTCAAACTCCAGTTTATCCCACTGGGCAAAAGGTGGCCAACTGACTCATGAGAATGGCCATACCATTTCTGAGCTGATCCATCTAGTTCAGTATCCTGTCTCTGAGAATACTCAGTACCAGCTGTTCAGGGGAAGGCATAAGAAACCCTGCAGTAGAAAGGAAGCACACACCAACAAGGAACGTTTCTTCCTAACCCCCTCAATTAGAAGTTACCCACTTCGGGAATCAGTTGGGAAGCGTATGGATTGTCACACACTGAATGATGTGACTTGTCCAAGATATGAACACAGCAGTTTCTAGGTTTCTAGCCCTTTGCTGTAACTGCTAGAGCTGTGGCAAAGTCTACCATTTTGAGCCACAGGGGTTCACAAAACATTTCAGGTTGGAAGCTCACACTCAAAGCAATCGATCATCAATTGAAACAAAGTTTCATGCCAAATCACACAAGTCATCCATGGTCCAGTTAGAAGCTTTACAGGCTTTCAACAGACTTGGGCTGAGTTTCTAACAGAAAACAGGATGAGTTTCCTATTGGCAGGTCTGCCCAGCTCTAGCAATTCCTAGAGCCCCACAGCCTACTGGACTGTGAAATCTGCTGTGCATTCAGGCGATACCCCTGAACCGTGTGAACAGCTTGAGATCCTGAGGGAAAAGCGAGCTGCAAAAACAGAAACCAGCGATTTCTGCTAATAATAAATCCTTGTCTTTCAAGCATAAGAACCCCTACTCGGGTACTCCAAGCAAATGGGGATGGCTATTCAGACTTTCAGTGGGGAAGTTTGAAATTTTTAATGCAACATTTCACACCACGTGTGACTATCTGAAAGCTGCAGCCCTTTGCCCATCCACACAATGGACATGGATTTTTCATCACCAATTTAGAATGAGTTCTCTCTCGAAAGATTAAACAAAATAGTGTGAGCCCGATGAAAAGTTTCAGCTCAGTCTCATTAGTAGGCCAGGATTAACATGTAAGGACTGGCTTTAATATTTTACCGCCTTTGTTTATTGGTAGTTTGCAAATATTCCAATTCTACCTTGCTTCTATCTGAGAAATGGTTACTGTTTATTTAACTGGAGAAAAGAGGCATGTTGAAAAAAATCCACCAGAATCAAGTTTTCCTGGCAAGACTACCACTGAAAATCTTATTAAATTACAGTGTTTAGAAAGACAAGCTAATTGGTTTTGTCTGAATCTGTAGAATTTCTTATGTTTACCAGCTGAAATTTGGGAGTTGTTTGAAGGAGAATTGCCAATTAGCTGACAGGAAAGGCAGACATTTCACAAAATGACATTCCCTTCTGCTGCATCTTCTTTAGACTGTTCTGAAGGGATCATGTTTATACTTTACCAAATACATTGCACATCTGGCACAGATGATAGTAGCAATGCTCCCTTGGATATCTATTAAGACTTGTAAATTACCAGTTGGGGAAGCAGTCTTAAGCCATGGTTTAGAAAACTGGACATGAAACGGGATAATGAAGTGGGGATTGACTAGTCTGTCCACATTTCAACATTAGTAGCTGTAAGTGTATCATAACTGACCTCCAAAAACACTCCAGTGATTAATGGGTTAAGCACATCTGCCTTCTCTTTGACCTGAAAAGATTAGAGATATATCATCCAGCTTGACAATCTGATTGCATTGCCTTTAAACAAAACACAGGGCCAGATCCTCAACTACTTTAGAAATCGACATAGCCCTCTCCCCGTCAGTGAAGCTGCACTGATTTACACCAGCTGAGGATGTGGACCATAGTATGACAATATAGACTTGCACAAGTCCCAGCATGTACCAAAAGCGTGCTCTATACTTCCAGATGAACTGGGGAAAGCTTCCTGAATTAAAGCAAGCTAATGGGACATATTTCTAACAAAAGCAGCTGTAGGCTGGTATGAACTAGGTCTAGGACAATGGAAGGGTCTTGTGTCTGAGTTGAGCACTGTGCGTATATGCAAACAGCGGGTTCCTTTCAGAGACAGCTCTCTGTCTCTGCAGAGGAGAACCCGTGAAGGAGAACATCACAAACCATAGAAACATAAAACAGAATTTCCCCACCATTTCGGCTACCAACGTGTGAGAGGGGTACATAATACCCTACAATAATTACACCTTCATCATCGCAGACATTAGCTACTTAGTCTCCTCAAAGCATGGAAAGAAATTGTCTGAGCTGGATGGCTTTACTTCAGTAAAGTTCACTTTGAACTCCGATCCAGGCTGAAAAGTTACCAGCTTTACAGGCTGATAATGGGAAAAATCTGAAGGTTGGAATGAATTAGGATGCAGCGAAGCGCATCGATAACACACCTGTGTATTTTAAAAATACAGAAGCTGAGACAGCGTGAGAAGCTGTGCAGTTGAACAAAGGCACGAGAGCATTTCAGGGACACTACAGTCCGTTTTGAATGCAGCATGAGGTTGAGTGGGACCAACCAATCTCATTCCTGTTAAACAAGAAGTAGGTCTTACCCCTGCAGTTGTTAAGCATGTAGTGAACTCTTTAGATAGAGAAGACAATTCTTTACACAGCACAATAGTCATTCTGGGAAAGGAAAAAGGAAAATTATGTAGTAAAGCACTTAAAAAAAAAATCCTCTTTACTTTGCCATTGTCATCTGTAAAACAAAATCACCCACTTCCACACGTAAATTTTTCTTTAAAAACAAAAAGATAGATATAAATGTTTAAGGGTCTAATAACATAGCATATGAAGAATGAGAAGTTCCAAATAATATCTGAAAAGAGAACAAGGCTGACAATTGGAAGCAGATTTCAGAGAACAGGAATGCCTGGTCCAAAGGCAACACTACTCACTTGCTTTTTTAGTTACAAGCAGGAAGTGTCATCTTGTTTGTAAGAGAGAAATAGTTATTTTACATGGACACCAACTGCCTCTTAATAAAACAAGTCCCTGCTTGTCTTAAGCAGTATCGGTGAGATAAGTCTGCTCAGGATGATTTTAATATTAGGCATCTAATGTGCCAACAGGCTAGCAAAACGTTACTGAATAATCATTTTACATAAAGAGAATGGCTCTCTTTACACTACTTTAAACGGAGTATTTTGTGGGCTCCATTTCTTTCTTTTTAAATGCCTGTCTACTAAACTAGCACAAGTTTAGGGCAAAATTCCTGTCTCAGCGCTGCATGAAAGCTGTCACATAATATTTTCCTTTCTCCATGTGTTCTTGTCGAGAAATTTCTGTATGTACAAAAGACAGTCAAGTTCTGTTTAGTGAAGACAATACTGCCCTTAGCAATTTCTAACATAAATGCAATCAGACGTCAACTGCTGGCTGAGAACTGTGGAGGGAAGCTGCACAGTAATGCCTACACCAACAGTAGGATGGCAACCTAACCAGGTACTACAGCATAATTCAAAGGACTTACTGTGAAAGGGCTTTGGCTCGGCCTGTGGCTGACACCTCTTGCTTCTGACCATGTAGGACCAAGGCTGCAGTTTTGTGGAACATTTCAATGGAGTAGGCTGTCAGTTCAGCCAGACTTCTAATGGCAAATGCATGAATATCCTGCAGGAGTTAAAGAGAGCTCATTCCAATAGGTTTGCTATTATTTTAAAATAAGACTTCTCTCCACTCTGCTCCTCCCCCTATTCCCCCATCTCTAGGAGTTAATGTAAAATTCTAACTGCGGGTTGAAAGCCATAAGCAACCAGTTGTCAATATAGGATAATGTGCCAGCCCCTCCACGGTTAGATTTCATTTTCTCTCTCTCCTTTGCCCAGTTACCTCTACCGATGTTTGAACATCTTGGTCAGCATCCCCTGACTCCAGCTGTTGGTTTTCTTCGCTCATTTCCCCCTCTTTTGGAGCTTCCACGTTGAGTCTTTCAATCCAGTCATGAGCAGATTTCCTTGCCTGTGTAATAGGAGGCACAGACACATCAGCACGGCACTTAATGATTGGGATGAGATCCTCCTGCACTCTGCAGAAGGTGGAAGACTGGATCTCTTTGTAAGAAACGGTTACTACCCCTGCATTGGTGGAAAGAATTGGGACAAGCAAGTCAGTTACCTGCTGAACTTTGCAGCGGGGGCGAGTGAAATATAAGGGAACTGGCTACTGTGCACACATACTTTCGGCACTTGTTTTTCTTTCTTACCAGATGTACCCATGACATGTGCTGCTTTAACAGCACGACTGAAATGAAGAGGTTTTTTTAGGGTTTCCAATAGATGTTAGTGCCACTCAGTGGACCACAATGGTATTGTAAGAGGGTAAGAAAAGGAGACATTCCTCTAAATTTATTAACTGGTCTGACGGAGAGGAAGTTGCCTAAAGAGGAGTTCAGACACTGGGTTATGGGATCATGAAACTGATCAGCAATAACCCAGTGTGTGAACTATACGTAAGATACTTGATCATTCCAGTACTGAGAACCCTGGAGACGTTTATGAACTATTCGAGAACATATAAGGAACATTTGTCATTTATAGATAGATAGATAAAGACAGCCCTTGCTCCTTTTCCGTAGCTTCAACAGAATGGGCCATTGTTACAGATATAATCTTCTGACACACTTTTAAAGCTAGGAGATGATTTTAAAGCCAGATGTTGCGAATGGGCAACAGGGGATGGATCACTTGATGATTACAAGTTCTAGTTCACTGGCCACTGTCGGAAGACAAGATACTGGACTAGATGGACCATTGGCCTGACCCAGTATGGCCGTTCTTATGAGACCAAGAAAGTTCATCTTATCAAGGGCTCCAACATTTCAATGCTCCTTATCGTTTTGTAATCCCCGGGGGGGGGGGGGAAGAACGGTCTTTATACTTTTAACACCTTCCCCAGGAGTTCAGGACCTGGTCTCCAGAGATATACCCACCAGCCATCAGAGGACACAAAGCTAACTCACCACGGCTAGTTTGTCTGGCTTGGCAGAGACGTGCAGTTCGAAGAAAAGCGCAGTTATTTCCTTTGTGAAATCTTCGTCTCCTGAAGGAAACAAAGCAGGTTTGCCAGACTCGGTAGAGTAAGATAGTTTGTACTACACAAATAAGTGATAATCAGGAAATATACATTGTATAACCATGCAGCTTGTTTCTGCCCATATGCCTCCAGGGTTCAGCTATTGCTGACAACCAATGGCTGCATATAATTCATTTTTAAATCACATATTCAACAAAGGATTCAAACCCCTCAAACTTGGTCTTTTTTAATGCAATTTATTGGGCATTATTTGGTTTTGAGGGCCTATAGATATGTCACTAGGACTAACTAGCCTTTGGTCAAGGTAATTCTATTTTTACAGCTAGCATCCAACCACAAACAACATAAATTCTGCATTTCAGAAGACATCTGCTTGCACACCACCTTAGAGAATTTTTTAGACCATTTAAAGCCAATGGTTTTCCTATTATATATGCAGGGCCAGATGTTGACAAAACAGGAAAAAAGCTGTTGGATCCATCATGTACAAAGATAAAAATGATAAATAAGTCTCTAGAGTACCTAACACTGAATGCGCCAGCCCTCTTTGCTCGGCCCCTTGGGTAAAATCGAAACAAGAAAGTCGTTTATGTTCAAATTAGTGAAAGCTTCAACAACTGGATGCTCCCTGCTGTGCAGGTTGTTTCTGAGCTTTCCGATGTCCCTTCAAACTGTGTGGCCAACACTAGTAGAAACTTTTACCTTTTAAAAAAAAGTGACTTTTTTGAAGTCAGATACTGCTACTAATAGGTTTCCCTTAGCTCCAGGAAAGGAGGAGGTTAGGAAGAAGCTATTTTCTTGGGATTTCCTACATAGCCTCTCCCTTCAGGCCCTTCCGCCCCAATCCTCCCCTCATTTTCTTCTCTCATAAGACCCTGCATCAGAGGGACCTCCTTTCTTCTGCCCAAGGTGCGCTGGATGAGCTAATCAGTCCACTCCTGCACTGTGAATGGGTCCCTGCAGAGGAGGAGTTCTCCCCATCCTCCCAGAGATTAAGGGCACTGCCTTTCAACAGTGCTCCCAACTGCTGATAGGTTGAGGATCAAGGGACCAGCTGAATAATAACCGACCCTGGGCCTTTCACACATTGCTGTGGAAGGCTAGTTGGTTTTAAATTGGAGTTTAAAAACCAGCCTCCCCGCCTGTAAACGCGGATCCCTTTTTATTACCCTTCTTCTCTTCCTCTTCATCATCATAAAATTCAGCTAATGAAAATGCTTCTTTGAGCTGCTCCAACTCCACTTTTAACATGTCTAACTCTTCTCCAGAGAGGGCGTTTATAACCGACTTCACCTAGTTAAGAGCGAGACAGGCATAAAAAGAGTCATAAATGCAACAGGAAAGAGAAACAAGATGGAAATGATACAGTGCAGCAGTATTAATGACATGCTGACACCAAATGCAGCTGTCCCTTTAGGACAGAGTTCTCTGCCAGGCCCCATTAAGGAGTAATTGATTCTTTACCAGGCTTCCTGATGTTTCAATTGATATTTGCCAAAAATGGAATAGCTGGGATACAATTTGTGTTCACCTAGTAGGATCACCAAGGTTGAAAAATATCACAGTACCCACACATCAGGAAAGCTAGGAAGAATAGAATTGTGTGTCCCAGGAAGAGAATGTGTGACCCAGTAGCCAATCAAGCGTCAGGTTTATTAAATCAGGGGTCAAAATGAAGCTAGAGAGCTGTACCTGCCGCTAACTACTTGAGCACAGGCGTTTGCTGCCAATGAAGAAGCATCGGCTTGTTGGCCAGAGGGCAAATGACAGCCGGGGAAAATTCATAGTTAAAGAAAACAAAAACCAGAGAGCGGCTCCTTTGTTACAGGCTAAACTACAACATACTACACTCGGCTTAGTGCTTCCCATTTTCCATTTCCTGTCCATGCGTTCTGCTCAGCCTGAAGGAACCAGTCATCAGACTTATTTTTTATGGAACATATATAATGTAGATGAAGTTCGTGGCACTATTATTAAGATTGCCTAACACTTCCCATATGAAGACCCTGTTTTCAGATGCTTAGCCACTTGGGCTGAAGTTTTCCACGCCAAATTGTCTGCCCCAGGATGAATTTTTCTGGGAAGATTTCAGCTAGAATGGTTCAGCCATTCTAGGGAAAAATACATTCTGCCCATGTTCACTAATTCCTGGTGATTTTTTTAAAAAAAAAATGCTCTAGCACCCCAATGCTTTGGAGCAGAGACTTGAAATTTAGCAGAGGGTAGGGGTATCCCTTGTATCCAGAGTGTGCCTCCTGCCGCCCCTGTGAAAATCCACTCCCATTTGGACAATTATAAACCCTTATTACACTTTGCTAATGCTCACTGGAGACTTCTTAGATATTAGCAGCTCAATTCTAGCTGAAGATTACGTCTACAAAAGCATGCTCTAGCCGCAAGGCCGAGCAGGACTTTCCCTGCTATTGCAGCTCTGGGCTGGGCTGGATCTGGGCATGTGTACTGAGAGGAGGAAGACTCTCTGTCCTGTGCTCTCAGGGCAAGTGGGGAGACAGAGTAACTTGAGACAAGGAGTCTGAAGGATGCAAAAACTGGTACTGGCTGGGCAAGCACATCGAGTCTGGGAGTTGGGGGGAGTGAAAGGAGATGAGGAGAGAGAGGAGATGGAGTTAATTACATGTGATCGTGCAATCAGACAATATCATAATGCATACACACAAGGGGGCCAAATTAGGTTGCACAGCTAACCTTAATTCTGGCATTTCCAAAATTTTGAGTGCTTGACATTGCAACCATCATAATGTTCTTTAAACAGGTTTTTGTGCATAAATATAACCTTTTTCCTCCTCAGCTGCACATATAAAATAGAAAGGAAACTGCTCAAAGCCATTACCTTTGAATCACTCTCTCTGGAAAGCATCTCCAAGGCTTCCAGATGTGAAAGACCCTGAAACTCATCAAAGAGTAACCCATAATGGGCTTTCTTCTCAGTAGCCATGGTAACCTCGGTAGCTGTCCTCTGCTCTTCTTTCTCCTTTGCCTCTCGCAAGACCTGAAAAAGGAAAAGCAGAGGCGTTAAACCAGCGCGTAGAGAAATTGGATAAGGGAGGCGAAGGCCCCAGTGAACAATTTTAGGAAGCGTTCACTTGATGCTAATACTGAAGGTTCTTTAAAAGGAAAACATAGGGAAGAAAAAAATAAAAGAGAGAAACTGCTGAGAGTCTCACTCTCGGGGTTTGAGAGAAACTAATACCTGGGACAGTGTAGAATTCCTGTTCATTAAGCCCTTTGTTTTCTTGAATCCAGGGTCTCCTTCAGCTATCACATCCATTGTCTTCTTTCCAATGAATTCCAAGGCATCCAAACCTCCACTAATAACACTCTTCCCCTAGAAAGCAGATTTGCAAATGGAGAGAATGCATGTAAATAATACTTCTGTTTGTCTAGCTACAGTTAGTTTAAATTTATTATTAAAATATGATTTATACCAGAAGTGATGTGGGCCAAATGCTCGTGTTTCAAGACACCCCCATCCCCATGTACAGTAAAGAGCATGAAAAACAAGAAAGAAACACTAGCAGCCAATGTTTTAATGGGAGTGCTCAGCTGGAGTGTATGGCCCTCCATCACAGTTGTACCAGCCATCCTGAATTTATAAAATGCACAAATTAACATCTTTCTTTCTCTTCTCTTCAGTCAGAAGAAACTTGACTATGTTCATTTATCCATTTTTAAAGTATGTTGTGAGACGGTTGCTGAAAACTTAAAAAAAAAGAAGTGGCCTTTGCATTTTGCTCTGCTGGAAGTGAGGTTTCTCTTCCAGAGTCATGGGCCAGTCACCAGGAAAGCTCTGTGTCCTGCACTCCAGAGTTTTACACTTGAGGGTAGAGTCCCATTGGAATTAGCTATGGTCAGTAGGACGAGTTGCCCCCCACCCCAAGTACTTTGGGTCAATCCCACAGAGGACTATGAAGAGGAAGGCTGGAGTCATTCCTAGAAACTCCACTGAAGTTAGTGGAGTTACTCCAGGAATCAATCTGCCCTTGAATTTGGCCTGTTATTCTACAGGGAACCAGAAAAGACAGCAGAGCATTGGGGTGACACACACTATGCTGCAGATCTGAAGGCCAGGGTAACCTGTTCAGACTTTCATAAAGAAAAGCCAGATAAAATGAAGAGTAGAATCAAGGTTTGTTGATATGAGGCTTCAGAGTCAAGGAAAAATAAGTGATTTTAGCCTATTTCCCAGCCACCCCACCCGCCCACTCACTGTGCTTTGAACAGCTGTAGAAAGAGTGGATAAAACTCCGAAAGCTCCACTGATGGGCGAGGAACTGCTGTCATCAACTCCGCCTGTACTACTTGCTTCAGAACTCTGGCTTCCTGCATCTGGGGGGGGAGAAGATGTTTTATTTTTCAAAACTTGCAAACAACAACAACAAAGTTAAGATTGTAAACAGATATCGTCCGCTTCAGGCAGGCAAATGCACAAATCTCAGACAGAAAAGAGGGCCGCAGCAGGTGAGACAGAAAGAGTTAAGATCACTCTGCTATGACGCTAAGACTCTGCAGAGCTAACAGAAATAAGCACTGGCACATTATTGTAGTAAACAGATGTCAATCTCAATACACACAGAGCAGAGCTGTTGAGTGTAAGATGGTGCTATTTTTAGACCACACTTGGAGAAATTCAAAAATTACATTTCTTATTTTTAATAATAAAAACTGACCTCCTGTAACAACTTTGGCCTCTGATGAGATTTCACTAGGGCTGGGGATCCCAAGGGACGTCTCTGCTTTTTCGATGACATTCGAAATACCTTGTCCTAGAGAAGGCAATGCTATTACTTCAACTCTAAGACAGAACTGCATTCACTTTAGCCACCAAAAAAGCAGTGATTGAATCAGAAATAAGATTAACCACCAGGGGCTGTACACAGGAGATACAGACATAGATATATAAGCACTAACCACACACACACACAATGTGTTACCCAGTCAATACTAAAAGCAATTGCAGTCTGGCTTGCTTACTGACCAGCATAAAGAATTCATCTTACATTGAAGCCTTTATGCTGTATCCCACTGATGGGAAAGTCTCAGCTGGTCATTGTTTGTGCCAGCTCCTTAAAAGCCTGAAAGTTATTCTGCTGTACATGTCTCCCTACCTCTCATTTGGCTTTTTGATTTTTCCCCCTGTATTTTGAACAGAGTGCTTGACTTTTGCCAACTCTTGCTTCTGAATTTGAAATCTTGTACTTTATAGACAAGCATCACAGCATAAGCTGGAGACATTTGTGAAAACTGAAGCCTGATTTTAGACTGCAAAAAGAGTTAATATAAGAACGGCCGTACTGGGTCAGACCAAAGGTCCATCTAGCCCAGTATCCTGTCCTCCGACAGTGGCCAGGTGCCCCAGAGGAAATGAACAGAACAGGGAATCATCAACTGATCCAATTATATCAAATTAGCAAAATGCCAGCAGCCCTTACCTACTGTAGCTACTGTGGCCGAGGCAGTGGAGAGAAGTGACTTTCCCCAGCTCCCCCAGTATCCCCATCCCGTCTGAGATGCATCAGTGGAATCAGATACCTTTATTTAGAGAAACAGAGATGGAATACAGCAAAGTGACTGACTGATCTCTGAACTGTATCTTTGTGAACCTCTTTTTTAACAGTAGTAACAACACTGAATTTCAGCCAACATGAACACATATCGATCTGTGACCTCCTTGATCTTCAATAAGTATCATACAATTATTCAGTTAGGGTTAAGTTCACCCTCCTGCAACAAGGCCAGAATAAGTGAACAGAGCAATTGCTACATTGTATCAGACTTGTGGTCCATCTTGTCCAGCATCCTGTCTCAGACAGTGGCCAGCACCAGATGCTTCGGAGGAAGGTGCAAATGTGAGGTAGTCTTCCCCAGTTTCCAATGAAGGTCTCTTCCTAAACCCTAAATGGAGTTTAGGTGGGGCATTATTTCAGAGTTGGGAGGGAAGGAATTTGGACACTACTGTACTAGAGATAAAAATGGAGGAAGAAAAAGGGAGAGCTGGAATGAACAGCAGAAGTGTTAATGTTGGTACCCTGTAACCTTCCTCTTCTGCATGCAACCCTCTCTCAGGAATGATGTGCAATACCAAAGTTTAATGTTGAGCTATCCGATGTGTATTGGACCATCAAGTAACTTCACTCTACTTTAAGGAAAAAGAAATGAGACTGCAAAATGCGAGAAGGTTGGGGTATGGAAGCAGTAAGGAAGGTAAGAAAGAGGAAGTTGATTCATAGTTCATTCCCCCCGTCCCGTACCTTTCTAGTGCAGTCAGTGTTCTAATGTCATTTGTTCCACCCTTATCTAACCCCCCATGGGAAGAAGCCAGTTCTTAGCTATCCTATCTGTGCAGTTCTAATATAACGCCATGACTTTCTGCCACTCATGGGGAGAAGTCAGGGTACATTCAGAGACCCAATTGCCAGGTTTGATGCAAAACCCATTCAAACCAATGACATTTAAAATAATGCATTTTCAGCATTGCTCAGTGCAAAACTCTATTCTGCCACAACTCTACGGGAAAGGGCTTCATCATTGTTTCCAACACAACCCGGATTCTGCTGTGTTTAAAGTTTGTGCAATTTACCAATCTGCATGTTCAAAGAGTCAGCACGGAAACATACTTTCAGGGCTTGATCCACTGGCTCTTCTGCAGCAATAGGCTCGCTGGAGGGTTTGGCTTCGGGTCTTTTCCGAGTCAGAGCCACAGGTTCAGGTTCATCCTCTTCCCTACCGCTGCTCTCCACGGACCCAGCTTCCTCCGCTCGCTGTCCAGTCTCATCCTTCTGGGAGTCACCTACTTTTAGATTTTCACTGACATCTTTTTCAGACATGACTAGAACATCTCCTAGAAAATATAGTGATTCCAAGAATAACAGCAACCCACCAGGATATTTTTGACATTCCTTTAAAATGCTACAGTGCTCTCCTGAATAGCTAAATGAGAAGACACCGTTATTCTCTCCCTCTCCCCATATATATATGCTCCCACTCGCCTTCTATACGTCAATGAATTTTTTGAGAGACAAGGTGGGTGAGATAATATCTTTTATTGGACCAGCTTCTGTTGGTGGAAGGGACAAGCTTTCAAGCTACACCAAGCTCTTCTTCAGGTCTAGGGAAGGAAGCAGAATTCTTTCTCAATCAGTCTGAACTATGCATGACTGACAGGAAAACAGTATGACAAGATTTAAACTTCCAAATACGACAGGTCACTCTATCTAAGAGCTATACCCTCCCAGCAGGAAAGGAACTGAGCAATATCTGTAAGTGCTGCACTACAAGTACAAAGGGTGTGCAGATAATTTATTCTATGGCTTGTCTCGCTAACCCAGACAGCTTTGGTGGACTGTTCTTGAAAAGCGTTTGCCAAATATGAAAGAACAGCATTATTAGAACGTGGGCAGTTGAGTAAGTTGCAGCGTATTTATTTGAGTGTTGTGCATTTATGGCAGAGCTTTTTTAAAGTGTACAAACAATTTGGAAATTCATCGTAATCGACAACTTGCATTTGAAGTCACAACCTGCCATACAAATCCAACTGCTGGATAAGGACCTATAAACCACCACTTGTAAATGAGATTTTCCCCCCCTCATTGATGTGCCAAAGAGTCTTAATTTCATTAACTCCAAGTCAGTTAATAATTAAAAGTTGGATGTTAATGCAACACCAGACATTGGAATAAAGCTCGTTATATGTGCAAAAAGATGCCCGCTTATGGCTGCTATGGGAATCAGACTTTAAATAGCCTAACTTTGATGTACTAAAATATCTCTGGTAAATCAATACAGTAACATTCCATTTTACATTTATTTATAAGTCCCAGAAAGTCTGCTGGTGATGCAATCAGATCAGCTTGTTACATTGTAACGCACTGGTCACCTTTCTCTTAGTAAAAAAGAAGAGACAGATCAGTACTCTGTCAATTTAAGATGACATTTCCAAAATCCTAGGTGCATGTACCCCATTTCCCCCTGTCTCTTCATCCCCCACCTACACGTCCCAGAGACATTTCTACGCTCCTGGTATTTTACAAACACATGCGCAGCCTCAAGCCCTTGCCCGCGGGATTTAGACACACGTTCTCCATCACACACAGGATGTAAAAAACTTGACAAGTGCAATAGGGCTCCAACTCCCTTCCAAGGTTCAACGTTCATGCTCCCAGTTAGTCACCCACCCTGCCCAGATGAAAGTGCATGACCCCAAAGTGACTAGAAGACGGACTAGTTTGAGAAATCATGTTCACTGTTAGCTATCTTCTCAAACACGGCCTCCTGCCCGCGTCCCTCCCTAACACACCCCACCCCGGCC